CAGGCTTCTGGGTCAGAGGTCAGTGCCTGCAGGGAGTCTAAAGATCTTTTGTTGTGGTGCGTGTCACCACAGGGTGGGAGAGGGAGGAACGCACAGACTTGTCTAAGCAGAAGACATCCTTGACCCTGGCACCATGACTGATGGTTTCTCAATGTATACAATCATCTTCCTGTTTTCCACAAATCCTGCTGAACAATAGTGTCTCTTCTCCATGTTCCACGTGACTGGCTTTCATTTAATTTCAATTCTTAGATCTATCTTTGTTAGTGTTGTACTTAAACTTCTCACGCCCACCCAAAGTGTCTTTATTTTATCATTTGCAGTGATGCCAAATTGTTCTCAATGTGCCTTTTGTTTCTCTGTTATTTCAGGAGGTGCGTCCTGTGTTCTTTAGACCCTGGGACTTGCACAACCCTCTCCCTCTGACCAGCTGGTCGTCTTTGTTCACCACCTTTCCCAGGGCAAAGACTCCTTGCGTCATTCACTGAACTGAGTACCAGCCATAAAGCACCATGACTTTGCGTGAAAGTCAAGACTCCTGTGTTGTCTGTCCTGGGCACCAGGACACAGATGAGGGTAGTGCTATGGAGTGGCTCCATTGCTGAGCACTTGGATATCACCCCCTCTCAAGAACCCCTCCACGCCCTCATCCACTTCTTTCTTTCGCTGGACTTTCCACCTGCATGTGGCTTAGAATACTGTACCTCTTCCTGCCATGTCCTGTAAGAGGAACCACTGGAGACTAGCTGCCATCTGGGATAACGTTCTTGTGATCCCCTCCTGTCATTGCAGAGTCTCAGCCCAATTTCTGCTCTCAGCAGAGGCAGCCTGCGTCACTTCCATGTTCAGACTCTTCTTTGGTGGGGAGAGGTCTTGCTTCTTGACTCACTACATAGGCCAGGCTGCAGTCACCCTTACCATCTTCCTACATAAGCAGAGGATGACCCAACGCAACCAGACTGTAGATCTGTGAGTCCCAGTGCAGGTGAGGATGTGAAGCAACTGTCGCTGCACACAAGGTTACAGGGGTGAGAAATGACGCGGTCATTTTGGAAGACAGATTGACTTAGTTTTTCTCAGTTAAACATTCTTAGGTTTGTCACAAACTCCACAGTTCCAGGTTTATAATTTCATTCAGAGGAAGCAGAAGCCTGTGGACACACAAAGCTATGCTTGAAGTTAGCCATAAGAGTTTCATTTAAAATTTCAGTGTGCACACCTTTCGTTCCAGCAACCAGGGCCGATTCAGGAATGTTAGAGTCTTAGGCAAGTGTGACTATATTTTGAGACATGGTGTAAAAATAAAGAGATACAGAAACCTACCCGCTTGGCCTTTGAGCTCAACTTGATCTATTTTTGTGAGAAGCAAGATTGTTAACACTCATAGGACTCTGATCTCTGATCTGCTAGTAGATGTGGGATATGAAATTTTTCTTAACACCTAATTGGATGAAGTCAGTTTAGATATATATATATATATATCAATTGGGTGGTGATTTGGAAGGAGTTGGTCTAGGTAAAGGAGTAAACATGATTTGAATACATTGTATCTGTGTTTGAAATTATTAAAGATTAAAATATATAAACATTCTGGATACATAGTTTAGGGACTTGTCCCGCATGGATACGATCCTGGATTCAATATCCTGTCTCCACTTCAGATGTTTGGGGAAACTGACTCACCAGAGGTGATGGGATGTCAAATTCCCATGTCCATCTGCTAACAAGCTCTAAGTATTCTCATCTACATAGGAAACTTATAAAACATGTGGCTTGGCACAGCCCTGGCGTCTTAGAAAGTTTATGTGTTCATAACAAAAATCCCATCATAAGCAGCAAGCTCAAGTCTATGACAGACACACAAGTGATCTGGGTACTTGGAAGACCAAGGCAGGTAGATTTTATGAGCTGGTAACATATACACACACTTCAACTCAATTGCATATATGCATAGACTGATACATGTGACATGCATACATGAATTTGTATATATCATAACCTATGTGACTTATAACCAATAGGAATTTGCTCCCAAGTTTGGAGACCATGAATTCCAAAGTTAAGGTACCATCTGGTGTGTTATATGTTGAGGATTAGCTTTCTCACCAAAGATTGTTCTTTTTGGTCACACTGGGCTGATAGGACAAATAATGATGCCCGTGACCTGAGCGCCTAGCGGCCCAGCTCTCAATATTCTCACTGTAGAGTGCAGGTTTGAGGTGACCTGATAATAGATGTCACAGCGGCAAAGGACAAGGTCAGATAGAGACAGGAAAAGGCTTGAAGGGACACCTGGTAATTCAAGCAGGCTTTACCAATAGTAGGAGATTTGCTGAGTCACAGCACAGGTGTGTTTAACTTTTGCAGAAAAGGTCAACCTGTCTTTCAACATGACTACACCACTTTGCATCCCCTCCAGTCATACATGTCTGACCATGTCAGTGGGTCCATGTTTTGCCAATACTGGTATGTATGTGCATATGCAGTAGTTTCTCCATGAAGAGGATTCTGTAGACTTTAGTCCCTCTTCCCCTTCTTGTCTGTAAATCCAGATCTACCCCTTGCAGCACACACACAGAATTTGAGAGTCTTCCTTATTCTACATGCTTATGACGTTCTCCACCATCATCCGTGAAGGGCCTTTGAATGATGCTGCACTGGGTGACAGAGCACAGGGGAACCTTCCCCCAAGCCATGCTACACAGCAGCCCAGGAATAAGAGGAGTCCAGGTAGAGGACCACCAGGTTGTCCAGATAACACAAAGAAGTTACTTCCATGTCTTTGAGCTTAGAAGAAATGGAGGAGGGTGGGTGGACTCTTCAGCTCCCATAGCCCAGATGTTCTCCAGAAAGGGGGAGAGAGAGAGAGAGAGAGAGAGAGAGAGAGAGAGAGAGAGAGAGAGAGAATATCTGCCTAGACAGGGCCTGAAAGCACAGAGAGTGTGGAGGGAAACACTAAATCTATAGCATTTGTGAATGGGATGATTTTTATGTTCCAAATTGCAAACGCCAGGGGGCAGAAGAGAGACAAGATTGTCTCAGCCTTGGCTGCTTTGAGCACAAGAAGACTGCTTGCTGCCTGGTGCTCTCACTGGGGACTGGAGGCGTTTGTGAGCTCCTGCTGAACATGTGCATCTGTGGAGTCTCCATTTCTGCTGACATACACAGGACACCTCACCAAATGGCCTTTAGAATTTCAGTAGCTGTGTCATTTTTGAAAACATCTGACATCAAATGGTCTCTATGTAACCACAATTGTCCACTTACCAGCATAGATGAATAAATTTTTCATAAAAGTATGAGCTATGCAATTACTTTCAGGGAAATATGAGTCTCCTTCTTTCACTGGAAGAAGTCCCCCTGAGCTCCTCTCAGCCAATCACTGCCTAGTCTCTGCTCCAGGGCAAACACTTTCTAATGCTACCATTTGGAAACTGCAAATGATTTAGAAACATCAGAATCCTAGTTATCCTGTCTCCGAAAAGGATTCCTAGGTCACTGGTCCCATTACTAAGTAAAATGCCGTTAGGATTCAAGTGTGCTACGACCAAGTACAGGGCTGAGCTCAGGGAGTTTTGCTGAAGAAAGAGAGGAGGGATTATAGTACCCAGGGGATCCTGACAGGGATGGGGCACAGAGACAGCTGAGCTGAGCTCATAGGAGCTCAAGGACTCTGGACCAACAGTTAGGGAACCTCCAGGAGACTGACATGTGCCCTCTGCATGTGTGTGACAGTTGTGTAGCTTTGTAAAGTTCCTAGCAGTGAGATCAGGATCCATCCTTGGCACTTAACTGGCTTTTGGGAACCTGCTCCTTGTGCTGGATTACCTTGCCCAGCCTTGACACAAGGGGAGGAGCTCAGTCCTGTCTTAACTTGATGTGCCATGCTTTGTATAAGTCCACAGGAGGCCTGCCCCTTTCTGAGCAGAGATGGAGGAGGAGTGGATAGGTAAGGGGGTAGATGCGAAGTGGGTGGGGGTGGGGCAAAAGGAGAGGAGGGAGAGGAAACTGCAGTCAGTATGTAAAATAAATGGGAAAAATTATTTAAATAAAATAAAATATAAAAAGAGAAAGAAGGAAATTGAAAAGGGAAAAACAGATTCAAGTGTGCTGCATTTAGGTAACGTGTCTCTCCATATGTGCAAACATCTCCTTTTACCTAATCCCTATTGATAAACACCTGAGTAACCTGATTTTGACTACTTTGAAACAAGCTCTTGTGAACTTTGGAAGTATGAGCTTTTGTGATTGGTGTTTTCAGTTTCTTGAAATAAAGACCTTGTGTGTGTACCTACTCACAGAAGCCCTCTGTCTCTCCTGCCGCATCTTGAGTGTGTACCTACTCACAGAAGCTCTCTGGATCTGATGGAGGAGGGTCATCTGTCTATGTGTTACTTTCATTGGTTAATAAAGAAAACTGCTTTGGCCCTTTGATAGGACAGAAAATTAGGTAGGTGGAGTAAACAGAACAGAATGCTGGGAGGAAGAAGACAGTGAGGTCAGTCGCCATAGCTCTCCTCTCCGAGATAGATGTAGGTTAAGATCCTTCCTGGTAAGCCACCACCTCGTGGTGCTACACACATTAATAGAAATGGGTTAATCAAGATGTGAGAGTTAGCCAGTACAAGGCTGGAAACTAATGGGCCAAGAGGTGTTTAAAAGAATACAGTTTCCGTGTAATTATTTTGGGTAAAGCTAGCCAGGTGGCAGGAAGCGGCCCGCCGCTCCTATTTCTACATGGCTTCTCCTGTTACAGCTTTCTGTTAATGTGTGAGGACAGGGCTCCCAGAATAGCTTCAGAATCCACGCTGTGCCTTTCTAGGAGATCAGAGAGAAAATGGAAACAGCAGAGGTGACTTTGCCCTGCCTCCTGGACATTGGCTCCTGTCACTCTGACTAATCAGTTCTCCAACAATGAGAACTTTGCCCCACCACACCAAGGTCCCAGCCCACATCCTTTTGATTTAATTCATAGCTAGGGAAGACCAACAGATTCTGCTTCCTGTTTGTGAAACGTGATCGTCCTACATAGCAGCAACGACTCAGGCCTGAGAGCTGATCATGTCACTGAACCAACTTCATAGCTGGCTGAATGCTGCGGTCTTTGGGCTCCTGCTTCTCCTCCTCCATGTGCAGGGTGAGGCTCACTAAGCTGGCAATGGGAATGACTAGAATCAGAGCTGCCGAATTCTGCAGAATCAGAGGCTGAGCTCGTGGGAGGGAAAGCCAGGGAATGAGGGTGTGAGTGGGGTGATGAAAAGAAGAGACTAAAGTATGGAAAACACGTGTCTCACAATTCTCTGGCCAAAGCACACAGATTTTGTGGGCGCTTAGCACACAGAGGGTCAGAGGTGTTTAAGATCACTCTATAGTAAGGAGACAGTTCAGTGTCAGGAGCTCTGGAAAGATCTAGACAATTCAAGGAAGAGCAAGATGAAGAAAATTTCCCTCCTCAAAGTATGGCTCTTACTGAAGCCACTGCTGAACTTCATATAAGAATGACAATAATCATAATTTCATGTGGTCAAAGAGCTCAGAGTGTGTGAACTCTTTGGCAGAGAAATGCTCTGACGCCCTGCAAAGGGCAATAGGAAAGTTCCTGGCTCTGAGGGATAGGGAAGTTCCCACACTCACACCCCACAGCTGAACTAGGAGGTCCCTTCTTTTGTGCCCTGGTAACAGTGAGATGGGAACTCCTACAATCTGCTGGCAGCTGATTGCATGAAACTAACCCAGATGTCATCTCTCCACCCAGGTCAGGACTCCTCAGAGGCCAGTCCCATCAGAAACACACACACAGGCCAGGTCCGAGGCAGCCTTATCCATGTGACTGATACCAAAGTTGGTGTCCACAGCTTCCTGGGAATTCCCTTTGCCAAGCCACCTGTAGGACCATTGCGTTTTGCACCCCCTGAAGCCCCTGAATTGTGGAGTGGTGTGAGAGATGGAACCTCACATCCAGCCATGTAAGTTCTGTACCCAGAGGACGTCTGGCCCTGGGGTGAACAGTTGCTCTGAGCTCTGAGTCATGCTGAAGTCTTTCCTCCATCTCAGTCCACAGCAGTTTTCTCTCACTGTGGGGAGTCCACCATGCAGTTTTCTGATGCATGTGCTAAGGTTGAGTAGAACAACTGTATCAGCTCCTTGGCACCATTAAGAGTTAGATGCAGGTACTGTAGAGAGGAACAAAAATGAAACTGATCACAACTTCAAATTAAGCCCAGTGTTCTCTGCCACAATGGGAGGAATCTCTAGGCATGAGTTGTGTGACCTATTAAGCAGAGAGCACCCTTGAATCCAATAGAATACACTTCAGGTTCTGAGGTGTGCAGCATGATGGATGCTGGCTAACCCCACCACCACAGTCACTATGAGAACATATTGGGCCGAACATCATTGACCAAGGAACTATATGTAACTAATTCACTCTGAAAACAGCATAGGAAAAAGATGTTCCCCGAGAGTCTGTACTTGGGATGAAGGATGCCTTTCTAATTCAGAAGTCACACATACATATGACTTCCCAACCACCCTGTGCATAGCTGAAAGTCCAGAAGAAAAGGGAGAAGAGATATTTGTCAGCATTTATACACTGTGCTTTTTTAGTTGTTCCAGAATGTTGGTGAAGGCTGCTCTTTTGTTCCCGGCCATCCAGACTCCAAACAACCACACAGAAATTGTATTGATTAAAACATTACTTGGTCAATCACTTAAATGTATTGCTAAGTAGTGCTTATATCTTAAATTAACCCATTTCTATTAATCTGTGCATCACTAAGAGGTTGTGGCCTACCAGCAAGGTTCTAGTCTCCTCTGGCAGCTACATGGCATCTCTGTTACTCCATCTTCTTTCTCCCAGCATTCAGTTTAGTTTTCCTACCCAGCTCTATTCTACCCTGTTGGAGGCCCAAAGTAACTTCTTTATTAACCAGTGGGATACAGAGGGGAATCCCACGTCACCAGAAAACACTGCTTTCTGAACTTACATAACAAATCACATAGAACAGGAACTGGTGAATATGCACTCCCCACACCCATCATTTCATTTTATAAATATAATTTTATTGGAATTCTAAAAAAAGAAAGAAGTTCCCTGAGAGTCTGTACATGGGTGAAGGATTTCTCACTGCCCTTTAGGAACAATGGACTTGACACTCTAATACCTGTGGAGCGCAACACTCCAATATTGCATCTAAGTCTGTTTTCTGTTGCTGCAATAAAGTGCCAACAAAGCAACTTAGTGGAAAAAGCTACTATGGGGAGAAAGCTACTATTAAAGGCTCTGCAGTATAATCCATCATCTTGGGAAGTTACGCTGAAAGAAAATTACAGGAGCTGGTCACATTACACCCACAACCAGGAACAGAGAGGAGAAAGCGCTTGCATGCCTTATATTGCCAAGGTCTAGGTCACTTTTCTATTCAAATACACTTCAGTGAATGTCACCACACACAGCCAATCATTTCCATAGAGACACCGAGATGTCTCTATATACCAGACTCAGAAATAAAACAACATACGGACCCAACCAAACTGGAGGACTCCACTCCAGCTTTCATGGAGCCTGTGGCCATTACCTTGGTGGAAGGGACTTCAGAGGGGGAATATGTGTTAACAGAACATCATGAGGAGTAGCAGCTAAAGGTGGCCAGGAAAAGATTCAGAACCACATTTGGTTTTGAACACCATGTATCCCTTGGAATATTTGTCTTCTATTTCCACCAGGTGTCTACAAAACCTTGAAACCATGAATCCAGAGGGCCTGACGGATATGGACGTGACCATGCCTCCCATTTCTATGTCTGAGGACTGCCTGTATCTCAACATCTACACACCGGCACATGCCCATGAAGGCTCTAACCTGCCTGTGGGTGTCAGGACATGGTCAGCTTGGGGACCAGGCATGCTTTTCAAGATGACTAGAAGGGACAGAAGCAACCTGATCTCCATTGCAGTGTGGGCTCTGCTGAAATGCCTTCCCTAATTTAGGTCAAAGAAGGGTTTTTCAGCTACACTAAGCAGCTGAAACCTGGGTATGAGATATGTATCACTAGAGCGCTGCATTATTAAAAACTCTAGCTCTTTGGTAAAACAAGGATGTATTCTATAACCTGAGTTCTGTAGAACCACTTAGGTTCTAAAGTCTCAACATTGAGGTTACCTATATCTACTTTTGGGTTATCTGTTTTACCAATGAGAGTTGATGATTCCATTTTTAAACTGGGGAGATATCCATGGAGACACGCCTCTTTGTTCTACTACGAAGAGTCTGAATAATGATAACGTTACTGTATACATAGAGCCATTAATTAAAATGCAAATACTTGCTGGGCATAGGGATGAGAATTACACAGATGGGGCTATTAGAGGACCCTGACTGTGACCAAGCCCTGAAGCCCCGAGGGTTGTATGTATTTGTATAGCTGCACAGAAACCCAGCAGTTGATACTCTAGTAAGTAGTCCTGCAGAGGTTGGACTGAGTAGGGGTCTCCTGACATCTCTCTTTGCTCTTCCAGGTGATGGTGTGGATCCATGGTGGTGCTCTGGTTGCAGGAATGGCTTCTGGAACTGATGGCTCCATACTGGCAGCCACTGAGGATGTGGTGGTGGTCACTATCCAGTACCGTCTGGGTGTCCTGGGCTTCTTCAGGTGAGCCTAGGGCTGGTTGGGGCAATGATATCTGATAAGAACCCAGACAGCTCTTTGATCCATGTCCCTTCCTCTTCTCAGCACTGGAGACCAGCACGCCAGAGGCAACTGGGGCTACCTGGACCAAGTGGCTGCTCTACGCTGGGTCCAACAAAATGTTGCCCACTTTGGAGGCAACCCTGGCCAGGTCACCATTTTTGGCGAGTCAGCAGGAGGCACAAGTGTGTCTTCACTTGTTGTGTCCCCCATGTCCCAAGGACTCTTCCAGAGAGCCATCATGCAGAGTGGAGTGGCCCTGCTGCCTGACCTTATCTCTGACACCCATGAAAAGGTCTACACTGTGAGTGCCCTCAACCATCATAGTCCTACTCTGACCCTTCAGCCTTCATCTTCTGGTGCTCTGGTCTTCTGTTGAGAGGGGAGAATAATGATCATGAAAAATATTTCTTTCCAGCAAATTTTGAGAAACTCTGGGGTTAGCGTCTATTCATCTCTATTTTATATGGGTCGAGAATGCTCTCTGACCATCTAACTTCTCCTAGTAGTAATTTCCATCATTGACAGAAATAAATATGTATATGCTTTGGGAGATAGCTCAGTGCATTTTTTGAAAAAAGTGTTTGGAGTGTAAAATCCCCAGAAACCTCAGAAGGCTGAAGAGAGTAGCATGTATCTGTCATTCCAATGTTCCTGTGATGAGGTGGGCGGCAAAGACAAGGGAATCCCTGGATGTTCACAGGGCAGTTCAGCTAGTGTAGGAGCAGAAACCAAGAGGACACCCTGTCTCAAATAAGGGGGCATCTGTGAAGAAAGGAGACCTGGTCCTCTAATACTCACATATAAACACTGGCAGACTTACTCCTTCTCTCACATCTGATATACAGAAGGACGGCTGGGGTTAGCAAAACTACCCTAAGGGAAAAGGTGTGGAGGTTGAGAGGAGACTGCCTGATGTCTGTAACCTTTGAGGAAAAGGACAAAGGGAATAATTTATATTTATAACCATCGACACCAAACATACACTATAGTGTGATATTTAGGATAATATCATCCAGTTGGGATTGTAAAAATCCTTCTCCTTACTTGTTCCCCTTCACAGACAGTGGCCAGCCTATCTGGATGTGAGACTACAAACTCAGAGGCCATGGTGCACTGTCTGAGAGGCAAGAGCGAGGCAGAGATTCTGGTCATTAACAAGGTAAGTAGAATTGTGTGCCTTGGAACATCTAGTCAGACTTTGTGTTCTTTAGTTCTGTGTACAATATGAACACCAAGATAGGCTAATCTAAGTGTAGATTCTCTTCCAGAGTGAGCTGAGAACCCCGAGGATAGTAGGAAATGTGAAAACAGTGGAGATAACTCAGTGAGCATCAACATACATATTTCATTGACTTCAGCATTGACTTTTAATGCCCCTCAGGTCTTCAAGATGATCCCTGCTGTGGTAGATGGGGTATTCCTACCCAAGCATCCCCAAGAGTTGTTGGCTTCTGTGGATTTTCGTCCTGTCCCCAGCATCATTGGTGTCACCAATGATGAATATGGTTGGATCATCCCCATGGTGAGTCTCAGTTCTAATCCTTTGGGAGATTGGAGACTCATATGTTAAGCAGTGAGAACTAAATACACATTGAATCCAAGTTCATCAGATTCCACTGGGTCTTCTATCTTCCAGATCATGGGCTCTGCTCAGGCAATAAAGGAAATAACCAAAGGGAACCTGGAGGCTTTTATGAAGAATACAACAGTACAAATGGTGAGATACCTCTGGTCCTATCCAAATAGAGAGGTCCCTCATATCTTCTCTCAGACAGCATCCCTATTAACAAAAGTAAGCATATATGTGTGATTCTGTGTGGGGTGACCTCAGAGCATGAACCTTTTTTACCTATGCCCTATCTCCACCCAGGCCCCATTCTCTCCATACCAAAGCTGCTGCCCACCTAACCGAGAACATGCCTAACCTCTGATCTCCTTGGTGTAGATGTTGCCTCCTGAGTGTAGCGACCTGCTAATGGAAGAGTACATGGGGGACACTGAGGATCCCCAAACCCTCCAATTACAGTTTACAGAGATGATGGAGGACTTCATGTTTGTGGTCCCTGCACTCCAAGTAGCACAGTTTCAACGTGAGTACATCTGTAACAAGGCTTAAGGGAACAACTCAAAGATTTAGACCATGGGTGAGCACTGTTGAGTAGTGTGCTATGCAGGTCTCATATTGAGTGAAAAAGAGCGACATCCAGGTGCAGATGAGAAAATGGGTTGCTGATAATCTATTAACTTGACATAGCTATCCAGTTGGAAAGGCCATGAGAACTGTTCTGCCCTGAGCTTTTCCACAGCTAGAGCTCCAGCCTGGAACTTTCTCTCCCTTTAACATTTATGATTCTAGGTAACTTTATGTCAAGGTACCTTGTCAGCAAATATGTATCAGAAGAAATCCAGTAAATGGGCTTAGTAAAGTCTCAGTTGTCCTTACTTCCAGGTTCCCATGCCCCTGTCTACTTCTATGAATTCCAACACCAACCCAGCTTCTTAAAGAGTTTCAGACCACCTTCTGTGAAAGCTGACCATGGTGATGAGATTACTTTTGTCTTTGGATACTTCTTCTTTGACATGAAATGTGAGTCTTCCTTATTCTCCTTGGACTGACTGAGTTCCCAGATGACACCCTAGGGACTCCTGAGCTCTCTGTCCATTTGATGAAAACTAGATTCTGACAGAGAATAAATTCAAATATGTACCATATCATAGACTAAAAAAATTATACCAGGATTAGAATCTGAACCTGTCCCAGTCTAGCCTGTGACGGAGATGACAGCACATTGGGGCAGGAATTCCTTTAAAGGATTGCATGGATGTTGAATATTGTATAGTGAAGAAGGGAGATAATAAAACAAATAGGTTAAGGTCTGACAACAGCTGGGATTGTGAGGGTGAAGCACAAATTGATGTTGTGTGAGGTGTCATGGACTTCAACATTTATTTTTCTCATGACTTTAGTCAACCTCACTGAGGAGGAAGAGCTACTGAACAGGAGGATGATGAAGTACTGGGCCAACTTTGCAAGAAATGGGTGAGAACATGCCTTTCTCTCAACCCTCCCTATATGGGTTATAGGGATATGTGGGTGTCTATATAGGTCTTTCTTTTGGGTGGTGGTCTCTTTAGCATTCCTGAATATGACATGATAGATTCTTCTCTATTGCATAGCACATTTATATAGATACTTTGTAGGTTTCAGTTCCTGGTCATCTCGCAGTGACCTGGTTCCTGAGTCACCATGCTATGGTACTGTTCTTTATATCTTGCCTCTTAGATGTAGATATAAAACATGTCAAGGAGTCTTCCTCCACGTGGAGCAGATCTTTATCAGGACAACTGTCCCATCAGCCCCATTAACCACTGGCCTAATTATACCATAGCCATGACCCAAATCAGGGAATCAGATTTGAATCAGAGTGACCTCACTCTTCCATGTTGGCTGTCATATCCATAGAAACCCCAACAGTGAGGATCTACCCTACTGGCCTGTGTTGGACCATGAAGAGCAGTACCTGCAGCTGAACATCCAGCCTGCTGTGGGCCAAGCCCTGAAGGCCAGAAGGCTGCAGTTCTGGAGCCAGACTCTGCCTCAGAAGATCCAGGAACTAAAGAAATCTCAGAACATGCACAAAGAGCTATAGTGCCCTGTGTGAGGAATGGTGTGTAGCATTGGCTGCCAATGGGGTCACCTTGAGGTTCCCAAAATATACTGACTAACTTGGGTTGATCCTAACACTCACATAACCTCTGCACTTGTCTGTTCTTCTACATTTATCAAGAGTTTTCTGCATGTGACTCTATCTTGCTGGGTCATCTTTTGTTAGATTCACTCAATAAATGCTCCTATAACAATGTGGATTTTGTGAGCCACCCAAGGCAGGCTCATCTCCTTTCAGACTCCTCTGGTACTAGACCCCTTCTATCCTTCCTTCTTAAATTTTTCTCTTCACTTTCATCTTCTCTAAAACTAAAATGCTCTTTAAAATAAAACAGAAGTTTGAAAAACCATGATGTGGGTTCTTCAAAGACCCCATATCATATTGGTGAGGTCTGTCAAAATCACATGCCCTATCTCATTAGGTTCGTTTTGGAGACCATGAAGTTCAACATTAGGATACGAATCTGTTTGCTGTGTTGTGATGACTAGCTCTCTGACCCAAAGTTGATGAGTAAATGGGATATTTAATAGTTCTCAGGACCCAGACCTCTACTAGGCCTCGGTCTTAATAACATCTCATCAGAACCTAAATATCAATATAGAAATATGACTCTATGATTATTTCTTTTTTTAAAATTTGTTTTTAATGAGCTATATATTTTTCTCTCTGCTCACCTCCTTTCCTCTTCGCTCCACTTCTACCCTATTCCATGGTACCCATGCTCCCAATTTACTCAGGAGATCTTATCTTTTTCTACTTTCCAGGTAGATTAGATCTATGTATATCTCTCTTAGGGTCCTCATTGTTGTCTAGGTTCTCTGGGATTGTGAATTATAGGCTGGTTTTTTACTTTGCTTTATGTCTAAAAGCCACTATGAGTGAATACATATTATATTTGTCTTTCTGGGTCTGGGTTATGTCACTCAGGATGATGTTTTCTAGACACAATCATTTTCCCGCAAATTTCAAGATATCTTTATTTCTTTCTGCTGTGTAGTACTCCATTGTATAAATGTATCACATTTTCCTTATCCATCCTTTGGTCCAGGGGCATTTAGGTTGTTTCCAGGTTCTAGCTATGACAAACAATGCTGCTATGAACATAGTTGAGCACATGTCCTTGTGGTACAATTGAGCATCCTTTGGATATATACCAAAAGTGGTATTACTATGCCTTAAGAAAATTGTTTTCTAATTTCCTGAGAAATCACCACACTGACATCCCAAGGGGCTGTACCAGCTTGCACTCCCACCAGTAATGAAGGAGTGTTCCCTTTACCCCACAACCTCTCCATCATATGCTATAGAGATGGATACTTTACATTGGTATGGATCTTGGTTTATTGATACAAATTTAAGGTCAATCCTGTTATATGTATATTTCTGCTCTTGATTAAGGTATTGTGTTTGTGCAGTTCATTTAAAAATGTAATGTATAATTAAGAAATATAAGTTAATAGATAATCATCTATAATAGTCAACCTTGTAGTCATGTTAGATAGATTTTCTAAATATACAGAGTTGTATTTCATATAGACAAATATTCTTCAAATCTTTCAAAGACCTTCAGAATGTGGCATTTAAATGTTTTAAGAAATTAGGACTTTTCATGACAGTGAGACACATCTGCTCCTGGCAGCACCAATTTGTAGTAATAAGGGCGGTGGGGCTGCGTCCCCAGCACCCCGGCTGCCTGGCTAGCTTATGCCCGAAATAACAGCACACAAACTGTATTCATTTAATCATTGCTTGGCCCATTTCTATCTAGCCTCTTCTAGGCTAATTCTCACATATTAATTTAGCCCATTTCTAATCATCTGTGTAGCGCCCCTAGGTGCGCTTACCGGGAAGATTCTAGTCTATGTCTATCCTGGGTCGGAGCTTCATCGTGTGCGTCTGCCTGGGAGCTGGAAGCATGGCGTCCCTCTGAGGCGTCTGCTCCCGAGAGGAGAGCTGTGGAGTCTGAGCTCACTTCCTCTTCCTCCCAGTGTTCTGTTCTGTTTACTCCTCCCACCTATCTTCTAACCAATGAGGGCCAAGCAGTTTCTTTTTATTTAACCTATGACCTTCCTCCATCACCAATCTACTCCAAGAGGATGATGGGCATTGAAGAGGCTCCTTATGGAGTTGGTTAGCCATTTGGGCAAGAAACTGCTTTTGCCTGGACTGCTTGACTAGATATGCAGGACCCACAGAGAAATGACTGCTGAACTTGCCTAAAGGTGAGACGGTCTTTTGGGGTTCCTGCTTCATGAAAGAGTCTGCTAGACATTCTGCTTCTTCTTCTCATTCAGGGGAGACTCTTAAGTGGATCCTTACTTAAACTGGCAAGTTCTGCAGAGTTAGAGGCTGAGACTACAGAGAGGGAGTAACTCTCAGATGCATCAGAAAAATTTGTAGGAAATGTGTCTCCAAATTCCCTTACCAGGGCCTGTGAAATGACTCAGCAGAAAAAGGTGCCTGTATCTAAGCCGGGCCAGAGTTCAACCACGGAGCCCACATTGTGGAAGGAGAGAACTGACTCCCAATGCCCCTCCCAATGCCACAGAGTAGCCTTCTCCCTCATAAGCATCACTGATACTGGAGGAGGTCATACATACTGAGGAGCCAGCTCAGTAGTAGGGGATCTAAGCTGTGCTGGATCTGCAGGTCAGTGGATAAAGCAGCAGGTGGGTCTTTTCCCTCAGTTCTTTTGTAGCTGCTCCTGGACGTCTGGGTAATAATACTATATATTTATGCTGTCATATATCTGTGAGTGTGTCACCCCATAGGACAGAACAGTGGCCTGAAAACCTTTGAAAGGAACAGAGTTAGTTGACATAGAGACATTCCTGGGGCCCCACGGGCCTCAGTGTACCTTAGTGGTCCCTGGGTTTTCTTCACTGTGCACCTTCCTTGGTGCAAGGGCAGGTTGGATTCCAGAGCAAAGGGCGTGTGTGCTCTGGGCCTATCAGCAAATTTCAGGATCTTATCAGAACTTAAGCCAGAATGGATTGTTCCCCAGGGTGTGTGTGTGCAGCCCACACACTCTCCTAGTGCGGACCAATTGACCTCCTCCTGGGCCTCTGCACTCTGATAGTGTACACTTGATTGATCTGTTCCTGAGCTTCCCCAGTCAGAGCCACTGAACTCACCTCACCTGTGACCCCTGCTGTGGGTCACCAGGCTCTGGGAGGTCACCAGAGTTCTCCAGGCAGGAAGGTATGCCTGACTCACTCATGGCTGCTGTTTGGAGTATTCTTTCTCTAGATTCCTGGGCTCAGAGTCAGAGATAACTGTAAAAGGGATGGAGTGTGCCTGTCCTCTTCTCTCTCATCCTGGCCTGTGCCATCCATGGGAACATTAAAAGAGCAGGGTCTTATAGACGATGCCCAGGATTACTTAGAAGGGATGTATTAGCTGCATGTTTTGTGACACACCTTTAACACAGAAACTGGGATAGCAGACCTGTCTGGACTACATACAATGCTCTGTCTCAAAAACCAGAAGAAATCCAAAGAGCAGTAAGAAAAGGAATTTGTTCACCTAATTTGATTTTCACCAATGACTCCTCGTCTGGGTATGGCTTTCCAGCTTCCAGGGAGAAGGACATTTGAGTTGATTACACAGGGTTTCATGGAGATTTTCTTTAAAGATAAAGCACTGTGGGTGTGGGCAGGCTCTAATCAGGACCGTTTCCATAGGTTTTGTCTGTTGCAATAACTGTCAGTCATCACAGGCAGGAGCCTTCAGTGAGAATCATGGACAAAGATGCTGTCTGGAAGGCCATTGTGTGCAGGCAGCAAGTCACAGGACAGGGTGAGCACTTGACTGAGAAAGATGTTGGAAGTCACTCTTGGGTGGCTGTGAGTGGCTGCTGCCCTGGCCTCATCCACAAAGGTGGCACCAAAGATGCTGATTCCTGCGGGTCAGATGGGGAGGGCTGCAGGAGAAGATTTGCTTGGCCAATTTGGCAATCAGGTCTGCCAGACTCTGCAGTGTTGAATGTGATGCTGTGGGAGGGGAGGGGCCAGGGAGGTGGAGCTGCAGAGGTGACACACAGCAGGAGGAGGGTCTCCCTGGACCCCTCCCTGCACTCCCAGGCAGAGAGGATCAGGACTGCTTAAGACTGCACAGCACCCAAAGCAGGACATTTTCTGAGGTAAAGAAGAGTCGACAAACCCATGGTGTCCAAACACTTATCTTCACCCAATGTCCAGACCGAGAGCCTGGGGTCATTTAGGTCCTTAGATGACTTCTGTCATGCCCTCGTTTTCCTCATTTTCAGATCCACACCAGAGCAGGCTGGAATTTTGTGTGTAGTTCACAGTTGTGTTACTCTCTCATGTCAGAGCCGGCACAGACAATGCTGTGTCAGTGTGTGTGTGTGTGTGTGTGTGTGTGTGTGTGTGATTGTGTATTCTTCGGATCAGCCAAAGTTTCTCCTCACCTCCTCTACAGAGCCTGGAGATGCTATGAGGTTCATGTTCACAGACTCAGGACATCTGTGAATATGACCTTGAGGTGTGTCCTGGAAGTTGGATGGGAGCATCAGAGGCCTGGAAATGTCCGGGAGAAGAGCATCCTATCACTGTCTTCCTGAGTACCACCAGTCCATGTATGGAAGGCTATTTCTAACTTTCTCTTATCCCCAAGAACTGTTTGGTTCCTTGTGACCAATCATTCTCATCAGATCCCGTATTATCAATTTATATTCTGACTTCACATTGTTGTCCCTAAAATTTTTAGGCCCTGTATTAAAAACTTCTCTTATAATATATTCCATTGTACAAAGGTGACAAATGGTGCTCAGTCTGTCTCTGTGTTCACCTAAAGCATTTTCTCTGTGATTAAAGGGCTCTATCCCCCTTCTTCTAGATCCCAATGCTCACAAGACTCCTGCACATGACAAACCCAGGCCATTCTAGGATCTTCTCAGGTTTCATTCATTGTCTTGTAAGCCAACCATAGGATATCACCAAAATGATGACTTCTGAAATGCCAATCTTAAACACCAGGAAGCAGAGAGTTGAAGATGAGCTTCAGCTGGGCTCAGGAGCTGGGCAGGGAGAAAGGTCCTTCCTTTGAATGCAGGAGGGACGATGCCTGAGAAAGCCACTAGGGCAGTGGTTCTCAACCTGGGGGTCGCATATCAGATATCCCTCATATTAAATACTTACATTGTAATTCATAATAATAGCAAAGTTACAGCTGCAAAGTAACACCAAAAATAATTTTATGTTTGGGGATCCCAAACATAAGAACTGTATTAAAGGGTCGTAGCATTTGGGATGTTGAAGACCATTGCACTAGGGACTAAAATTTTATTGAACTTCTGCTGGACATGCACACACACACACACACACATACACACACACACACACACACACACACACACAGAGAGAGAGAGAGAGAGGCAGAAGAGCCAGAATTTCATTGTCTTTCAAAGAAACTGCCATGACCTAACAGGAAGTAAACAGGAAGTGATCCTAAGATCACCATATGGGTAAGGGACCCTGAGGGTGGACTCACTGCTCTATGAGTATTGACAACATAGAGGTGTCATGAGGATGAGGTCACACTTAGAGCTCCTGCCCTCTCACTTCTCTCCATCTGTGGCATCTTGAATGTGTTCCTACCCACAGAAGCCCCGTGGCTTCTCCTGTTACAGCTTTCTGCTCCCTATTTTTTTGCTCATATACCTACATTGGGTTGGTGAGGAAAAGGGCCAGGGATCATGTTCAAGGACAGGGATCCTGGCATTCCAGAAGGATTTCAGATGCTATGTCATGCCTATCCAAGAGGTCATGGAAGGAGCAGAAACTGCACGGTTGCTTTTGTCCTGCCTGCTGGCTATTGGTTCTCTGTTGACTTCTGCCTTATCAGTTGGGCCGCAATAAGAACTTTGCCCCACTCAACCAAATTTCCACACCCACGTCCTGAAAGGTATAAACTCCTGCCTGGGCAAAGCCTACCTGTTCTGTTTCCTGTTGTTGTGAGACTGTCATCTTGTAGCAGCACAGAGTTAGCTCTGGGATTCAACCATGCCACTCGGTAGACTTCCTGGATGGCTGTTTGCTGTGGCCTGTGGGCTCCTGCTTCTCCTCCTCCACGTGCACGGTGAGCAGAGGGACCAGGGTCAGAGCTGCCCAGTTCTGCAGAGTCAGAGTCTGCGCTTGTGGGAGGGAAATACCAGGGAGGGAGGAGCTGGTGAAGACGACAGATCAAAGTGTGGATTTGTGCACCCTCTAATGCCCACACCAAAGCCCACAGGATGGGCCATGTGGCACAGGAGGGTCAGAGATGTGTAAAGTTACCATGTACTTAGGAGCCAGCAGGGACGGAAGAGCAGGAGGGACGTGTCCCTCCTCCGTGTATGGTTGTAGATAGAGCTCCTAGTGATTGTGTGGGTAATGATAATAATTCCTTCATAATGCCAAGTGGCTCTGAACCTGTCACCTTCTTGACTAGAGAAGTGCTCTATCAATTTTCAAGAGGGCCAATGGACAAGGTTTCTGGCCCTAGGTAATTCAGAAAGCCTCATCTCCACATGCCACAGCTGAACTGAGAGGACCCACATTACCTTCCCCGTGTACCACGGAGACAATGAGGTAGGAATTCCCAAGTGTGGTTGCAACTGATGGCTTCTCTTCCCCTACAGGCCAGGACTCAGCCAGCCCCATCAGGAACACACACACAGGGCAGGTGAGAGGAAGCCTCGTCCATGTGAAAGACGGTGAACTTGGTGTCTATACCTTCCTGGGGATTCCCTTTGCCAAGCCACCTGTGGGACCACTGCGCTTTGCTCCCCCTGAACCCCCTGAACCATGGAGTGGTGTGAGAGATGCAACCTCTGAGCCAGCCATGTAAGTTTTGGGGCCCAGGGGACTTCAGGCCTGAGATCTAGGCCACACTGCTGTGCTTCCTCCGTCTCAGCTCTATAGCAGTGTTCTGTCTGTCCTGAGGGCATCTCCCATGCAGTTTTTCAATGAATGTGCTAAGGATTAGAGAGGAACAACGGTGCCAGGCTCTTAAGTCAGAGCTTGGCACCTGTAGGGACTTAGCTGCAGGTTCTGCAGTGAAGAGCAGAGACTAAGGCCATTCTTCACGGTCAATGTGACCATCCACTGTCCAGGTGCCATTGGCTAAAGAACAGGTATACATGTTTTCCACTGGAGAATATGTCCATTCATCCCTATAGATACTATGTGGTCACAGCTCCAATACCCAAGTATCTTAGTTTGTTTTCTGATGCTGTGCTAGAGGACCCTGACATAAACAATGCAGTGAGGAAATATTTTACAATGGGTCACAAGTCCAGGTTATAATCAACCATAAGTGGGCAACCACAGGTGCAGAAGTTTAAGGCCGCTGTTCATATCATGCTCATAATCTGGAATAGAACCTAAATGTCACATGCATGCCTGCTAATGCTTCTCTTACTCTCTCCATTCTTACGCAGTTCAGAAAATCTTCCTAGGGAATGGTCCCTCCTATAATAGGCAAGTGTTGACAGGGTAACAACTGGGAGGGCCACGGGAGAAAGGAAGTATTCTCTTTAGTGTTCAGCTCTGAAGTAAGAACAGTAGGGATAATATGGCCCCGCCTACTTCATGGGATTATAAGGACTGGGTGAGCACTAGACGCCAAGGTCTGAACAAAAAGTAGATAAACTATGTATTGACATAAAACAATCCGTGTGTGACTCAGTTGCTCCCTAGATATTTTGAGGGACAGCCGACTCACTGCTATGTTCAGGCCTCACTAGGACTGATGGTTACACTAGTAACACAGTAAGCAGAGGGCTCTCCAGCTGCTGGCATGGCCTGGGTGACCTAATATGTCACAGCCACTGTGATACTTGGCTATGTATGTCAACTTGGGTCCACCATAGCACTGACAGCTGGGAAAGTATTAGAACAGACATTATTAAAAAGGTATTTTAAAACTCTGCTTAATATTTAAATCAATAAAATTTGAGTAAATAGGTAGCGTGGCTGGGTGGGCCTTGCCCAATTTGTTAGAAGCCTCAATAGAAGAAAAACTAAATTTCCCCCAAGAAGGATGGAATTCTGCCTCCGTACTTAACCTACGTCATCAGCTCTTCCCCGGGCCTCCATCCTGGTCCACCCCATAGACTTTCTAGCCCCAGCAATGTGTGAGCCAGTTAAAATAAACCCTTTCTAAATCTCTCTCTCTCTCTCTCTCTCTCTCTCTCTCTCTCTCTCACACACACACACACACACACACACACACACACACGGTTCCCAACTTTCAGGGAAGCCATACTTCAAATTTTGAATTTTCTTGTCTTGAGCCATTGAGCCAGCAGTATGAAGCACAGTGCTGACCCGCGGTGCCCACTAGGGACAGACTGATGCAGCGTTCAGAGTACCTTTCAGGCTGGTGAGGTTCAGCTATGTTGGTCAGCAAGTTGTCTGTATTACATATATTTGTAAATTAAGGTTCCTTTTTTCAGTCCGAATCTCTTCATTTTTTTATTTATTAGATTGTTACCCTGTCCCCACTTCCAGAACCTGTTCAAGCATAATTATCTCTCCCCGGACGGGTGACACATTTCCCCCAGCCTGATGCAAAACTCTCTGTGTATTATCAGGTCAGAGAAACAATAGCATGATAAGCACTGGGTGTGCTTGATTGGAGGATCCCCGTGAACGCTGACCTTTGAGTCTCTGTCAGTTACATGGGTTTTTGTGAGTGTATCTTGGCGAACCAAATTCACCCATTAAAATATTATCTTTTAAGAAAAAACAGACTCCACACTTCAAGAAGTAAACATGCGCATGAACTTTCGGAATATGGCTCTGTTTATAAAAGATTTCCTGTGAACGGGCACAGCAGGGAGACAGTAAGAATTTGTCCTCCCATTCACTGTGTGCTGGGGCTGCTCTGTTTTATTTTACTTTTAAAACTTTATTTTTTATTTAATATGTGCCTACGTGTCTGTATGTGTTCCATGGGTGTACAGGTACCCAAAGAGGCCAGAAGAGAAAATCAGCTCCCCAAGAGCTGTAGCTATAAAAGGTTGTGAGGCACCCCGTGGGGGTGCAAACTGAATGTAGGTCCTCTGCAAGAACAGCACACATTGTTAACCATCAAACCAGCCCTCTTTCTGTTTCCCCTCAAATGCTTTTACATAATTGTTTATACGAGATAAATGCACAGATATAAAACCCAAGAAAAAATAGGCAAGTGTTCCGGTCTCAATGAACATAATTAAGACAATTTTCTACATGTATGCCCAGAGGCCCGCAAGATCTAGAGCAGCGGTTCTCAACTTGGGAGTTGCTATTCCCACAGGTGTTGAACATCAGATATCGTGCATATCATATATTTGCATTACAATTCATAACAGTAGCAAAATTGCGGTAAAGAAGTAGCAACAAAGTCATTATTTGGTTGGGGAATCTCCACAACATGTGGGACTGTATTATAGTGTTAAAGCATTAGGAAAATTGAGAACCGCTGGTCTAAACATTCTCTCATTAATATCCTTTCCCAGTATATTCCACCTTGTGTCAGTCAGCAATCAAACTAACCACCACACCAGGATTAAATAGTACAAGAAGACAATTGTTTTCATAGAGGATGGCAACAGTCTCCATATACTAGCCTGATTCAGGATATTACTTTTCAACCAGACGCCTGCCCTAAAAGTATTGCTCCCTTTTCATATCTATAGAGCTGGTGGCCTTTACCTTGGCAGGAAAGGACTTTAGAGAGGGGTCATACATTATCAGGGCCATCATGGAAAGTAGTATCTGAAGATGACTGAGAGAAAATTCAGACTATGATTTAGGTTTGACCACCACGGATCTTGGGCTATCTGTCTTCCATTTTCATCAGGTGTCTGCAGATTGATACCACGAGTTCACAGTTTACAAAGGAGAGGAAGATGATCGTACCTCCCTCGTCTATGTCTGAGGACTGCCTGTATCTCAACATCTACACACCGACTCATGCCAATGAAGATTCTAACTTACCTGTGAGTGCCAGGCTGTGGGCAGCTGGGGAAGAAGATGTTTCTTTCTCTGGAAAATTGGAAGGGACAAAGTAATTCTGAGATCCTCTGTAGTTTAGATCCTGCTTAGTAGTTTTACCTTATTGGGGTGAAGAAGGTCATCCCAGACATGGGGAGCTGCTTAAACCTGGGTGTGTGACTCAGAGTTCTGGGATTCTAGAGATAAGAGGCTCTAGGTCTTTAATTAAACCAGGAATTCTTCTACCAACTTGAACCTGGCAGACCCACTCTGGAGGGTACCTGGGGGCTGCAATTTAACACATTTAAATATGTGTTGTGCCAATGGGATCTGATGTCTCTTCTGATTTGCTATCAGGAAAGACACATGTGGAGACACTCCTGTTTGCTCCACTTTGATGGGTCTGAGAGTGATAATGACATTACTTGTGATGTAGAACCATTAATCTATGCTGAGATTTCCTGGTGGGGATATGGGAAGGAAATATGTTTCGAGGCCTAGAGTACTCAATCAGTGGGTCATGTCCTGAAATCCTGTAAAGATTGGTATGCATGTCAGCCTGCACAGAGGCAAAGCAGTTGATAATCCAGTAGGCACTACAGTTGACCTTGGGCTGGGTGTGGGCCTCCTGGCATCTCTGTTGATTTCTCCAGGTGATGGTATGGATTCATGGTGGTGCACTGGTTGAAGGAATGGCTTCCATGAATGATGGATCCATACTGGCTGCTACTGAGGATGTAGTAATTGTCTCGATCCAGTATCGCTTGGGTATCCTCGGCTTCTTCAGGTAAGACTGGAACTGGGCTGGACAATGGGGTCTGAGTAGAGCATAGACAGACCTGTGATTCCTGTTCCTGCCACTTCACAGCACTGGAGACAAACATGCCACAGGCAACTGGGGTTACCTGGACCAAGTGACTGCCCTGCGTTGGGTCCAGCAGAATATCGCCTACTTTGGAGGCAACCCTGGCCAGGTCACCATTTTTGGTGTTTCAGCAGGAGGCACAAGTGTGTCTTCACTTGTTGTGTCCCCCATGTCCAAAGGACTCTTCCACAGAGCCATCATGGAGAGTGGAGTGGCCCTGCTGCCTGACCTTATCTCTGACACATCTGAGGTGGTCCACACAGTGAGTGTCCTCATCAATTCTAGCCCATACTTTGCTTCTTCAGTTCTTGGCTTTGGTACTCTGGCATTCTGTTAAGTGGGAAAAGCTAGGATTATGGGAAATAGTTTCTTTCCAGTATTTTCTGAGAGGCATAAAGTTTATAATATTCCCCTCTGCTTTATGTGTGCTGAGTGTGATATATGACAAGGAAAGCTGTACCCACTGTCTTCAACCATTGGCAAAACACCTACGCATTGTTTTTCCTAGTTTTCTTCTTATTGTTGTGATAAAGACCATGGCCAAAGGCTGTTTGGGGAGAAAAGGGTTTATTTCAACTAATGGTTTATAATCCAACTTGAAGAGAAGTCGGAGTGGGCATACGGGCAGGGACCTGGAACCACAATGGAGTTTAGGAGGAAACTGCTTATTGCCTTGTTACCCATGGCTTCCTCAGTTTGCTTTCCTTTTTTATTCTTTTTATTGTGCTATACATTTTTCTCTGTTCTCCTCCCTTCATCCCTTTTTCTTTTCTACCCTCTCCTGTGACCCCCATACTCTCAATTTACTCAGGAGAACTTGTCCTTTTCTCTTTCCTATGTAGACCCATGTATATCTCTCTTAGGGTCCTCTTTGCTGTCTAGGTTCTCTGGGGTTGTGCACTGTAGGCTGTTTTTTTTTTTTTTTGCTTTATGTCTAAAAGCCACTTATGAGTGAGTATATATGACATTTGTCTTTCTTTATCTGGTTTACCTCACTCAATATGTTTTTTTCTAGATCCATCCTTTGCCTGCAAATTTCAAGACGTCATTATTTTTTTTTACCGCGGAATAGTACTGCATTGCGAAAATATACCACATTTTCCTTATCCATTCTTTGATTGCAGGGCATTTAGGTTGTTTCCAGGTGTTAGCTATGACACTCAATGCTGCTTTGAACGTAGTTGATTGGTATGATTGAGCATCCTTTGGATGTATACACAAAAGTGGTATTGCTGGGTCTTGAGGTAGATTGTTTCCTAATTTTTTGAGAAATCACCATACTCATTTTCAAAGTGGCTGTACAAGTTTGCACTTCCACCAGCAATGCATGGGTGTTCCTCTTACCTCACATTCTCTCCAGCATAAGTTATCATCAGTGTTTTTGATCTTGGACATTCTGACAGGTGTAAGATGGAATCTCAGAGTTGTTCAGAGTTGCATTTTTCTCATGGCTCTCATGATGTTGAGCATTTTCTTAAGTGTCTTTCAGGCATTTGATATTTGTTTGTTGAGAGTTCTCTGTTTAGGTCTGCACCCCATTTTTAGCAAATTATTTGTTCTTTTGATTTCAAGTTTCTTGAGTTCTTTGAATATTTTGGAGATCAGTCCTCTGTCTGATGTGGGGCTGGTGAAGACTTTCCACATTCTGTAGACTGCAGTTGTGTCTTGTTGATTGCAGATGAATGCAAATAGATCCACATCTATCGCCATGCACGAAACTCAAGTCCAAATGGATCAAAGATCTCAACATAAAACCAACCACACTGAACCTCATAGAAGAGAAAGTGGGAAATACACTTTAATGCATTGGCACTCGAGACCTTTTCCTAAATATAAGCCCAGTAGCACAGACACTAAGAGCAACAATTAATAAATGGGACCTGAAACTGAGAAGCTTCTGTAAAGCTAATGATAGTTTGCTTTCTTATATAGTCCTGGACATTTGTCCATAGGTGTCACTGCCCATAGTGATGTGGGCCCTCCTGCACCAGTCATTTAATAGCAAATTTCCCAGACACGATTAGGAGCCAACCTGAGGGAGGCATTTTCTCAGTTGAAGTTCCCTTTTCAAGATTACCCTGGCTCATGTAAAGTTGACAAATTAATACCTAAGCAGGACACAAGGATTGAGGGAGAGGGTCAGCTGGTAAAAATATTCACTGTGCAAGAGTGAGTCCCCAAGTGCAAACATCCAGAGCCCACATAAGGCTAGAGGAAGTAGTATGAGTCAGTAAACCCAGTGTTTCTACGGAGGGATAGGACACAGAGACAGAAGAATCCCTGGAAGGGCGTAGCCCAGCTAAACTGGTGTAGACAAAAGGAAACATGGGGAAGGATGACAAGTGACACTCGAGGGTGTTCTCTGACATTCATAGGCAAAATATGACACGTCATACCTATTGCCACATATGAACACCACACACAAAACAAAACTACAACAAAATGAATATGCAGACAGAATGCCCTTTCCAAGTTGACATCTCTGAGAAACAGAAAATGTGAACAATTTCACTTAAGTCCTTTCATACACAACACACAGTAGGATGTGGTAATCAGGGGTAAACGACATCTACTTGGATTTAAGGAAACTCTACCTCATGCTAGGATGAATGAGCCAACTACTGCCTGTTCCGTTTACAGACGGTGGCCAACCTATCTGGATGTGAGGCCAAGGACTCAGAGGCCCTGGTGCACTGTCTCCGAGACAAGAGTAAAGCAGAGATTCTGGCTATTAACCAGGTTGGGAGAATTGTGTGGCTTGGAGGTGCTAGTCACGAGGCTATGGGATTGCCAGTTCTTACTACTTAAACCAGATAATTTATTTGTCTCCATGGTTAGCTGTCCTTTTAGTACTGTGGGTAGAAATATCAAAATAGAAAAGGACAAGATCTTCTGAGTAAATTGGGAACATGGGGATTTTGGGAGAGGGTTGAGGGGAGGGGAGAGATAGGGAGGGGAGCAGAGAAAAATGTAGAACTCAATAAAAATTGATAAAAAAGAAATATCAAGATAGGGTAATTTTGATGTCCAGTTTCTTCTGGAGTGAGCATATCATCCTGAAATGAGATAGGAAAGGGGGAATTGGTGGGTATTCAGTGGGCATCAGAATATTTAGGTGATTGATCTTCAGCACTGACTCTTAATGCCCCTTAGGTCTTCACTATGATCCCTGGTGTGGTGGATGGGACGTTCCTACCTAGGCACCCTCGGGAGCTGCTGGCCTCTGTGGATTTTCGCCCTGTCCCCAGCATCATTGGTGTTGACAGTGACGAGTGTGGTTGGGGGATCCCCTTGGTGAGACCTTGTTATAAGTCCCTGGGAGCCTAAAATCAAATGGTGGGTTATGGGAACTCAGAGATACTTTGATCTAAAGACAACCCATCCTATACTTAAGACTCTCCTCTACTTCCCAGTACATGGGCCTTGATCATGTCATAAAGAACATAACCCGAGAGACCCTGCCAGCTGTTCTGAAGAGCAGAGCGGCACACATGGTGAGAGACCTGTCCCGATAAAATTATTAGTATCTATTAATATTACTCTAAGAAAAATTATTAATAATAATTACTATAATTATTCTGATATACTCTTCTCAGATACCATACCCAGAAATGAAGGCAATTTTTGTGTGTGTTTCTGTGTGGACTCACCCAAAGCTTGTACCTTTCGTCCTATCCCCTGTCTCTCCCATGGCAACGTTCATTATTAGGAGGTTGCTGCCTATCTAATCCAAGAGCTTTCCCTACATCATCCTTCCTGATTTCTCCTGGTGTAGATGCTGCCTCCTGAATGTAGTGACCTGTTGATGGAAGAGTACATGGGGGACGTTGAGGACCCACAGACTCTTCAAGCACAGTTCAGAGAGATGATGGAGGACTTCATGTTTGTGGTCCCTGCACTCCAAGTAGCACATTTTCAGCGTGAGTACATCTGTAACAAGGTTGAGGGAGGAAACTCAGAGCTGTGGGTCCCAGGTGAACACTGTAGTGTCCGGGTATGGCGCATGTTGATCATGTCTCTGATACCAGGCACCTGAAGACACTTATCTCAGTAAATCCTTATGGCTAGAGTAAACGAGTGATGTTTTATCCATGTCTAGAGGGGGAAACATGTCAGTTACACTCAGTATCTTATAAAAACTCCCCATCTGGAAGAGTCAGGGTTACTGCTTAACAAAAGGTTTCCCATAACCGATGCCCCAGTCTGAGGCTCACCACTCAACTGTCATTCCAGATAACTTTAGAGCAAGGTTTCTTGTCACCGAAGTTCGGTGAGAAAACCCCATGTGAGAAACCATTATGCCAACATGTGCCCTCACTCCCAGGGTCCCACGCTCCTGTCTACTTCTATGAGTTCCAGCACCAGCCCAGCTTCATCAAACATGCCAGGCCATCCCACGTGAGGGCTGACCATGGTGATCACGCTGCCTTTGTCTTTGGCTCTGACTTCTGGGGCTTGAAACGTGAGTCTTCCTTGTTTTCCTTGAGCTGAATGGAGCCCTTGATTGTTTCCTGTGGAATTACTGAGCTCTTAGGACAGTTGAGGAAACTGAGGCTCTGGGAGAGAATGTAGTCGAGTGAGAACCATTTCTGAACTAAGGGAGAAGAAAAGAAAACTTTAGCAGGGTTAGAACATGAACCTTTCCTAGTCCAGCTTGTGTTAGCAGGAATGAGCACAAACTGGGGTAGGAGTGAACCTGAGTAGAGACTTGGATGGGTGGTGGGTTCTGAGTGCCGAGTAAAGAGAGCATACACCAGGTCTAGAATTCAGACCCAGGCTACAGTTGAAGCCTAAGATGCAGGGCTAGGCTGTGGTTGCTATAGTAGAAAATTGGCACCTACATAAGGCAGCTAGGACTTTTACCCTTTTCTTCCTTTGTCTGCAGTTGACCTCACTGAGGAGGAGAAGCTGCTGAACAGGAGGATGATGAAGTACTGGGCAAACTTTGCAAGACATGGGTGAGAACACACCCCTCCCTCAACCTCCTTATGGTTGGGTCTCCATCCAGGGTACCAATGTAGGTGTACCTCATTAGCATGCATGGGTCTTTAATTACACTCCAGTCTTCTCCATCCCAGGGCACACTTAGGTAGACACCTTCTCGCTTTCAGTTACTGCTAATTCCACAGAGACTGGGTGGGTGAGTCACAGTGTTTTGGTACTGTTCTTTAGATTTTTCCCTCTGAGAGAGACACACAAAACTAGACAGCTTCCCTTGTTTCATATCAGACACTGGTGGGTGACACTTGTGTTCTACATCTGTACACCAGTCCTCCTGCACCCTCTGGCCCTTGGCCTACTCATCCACTGCTCTGGCCCAAATCAAGGGATCATGTCTTGGATGAGAGTGACCTCACCCTTCCCTGCTGGTATCATATCCACAGGAACCCCAACAGTGAGGGTCTCCCCTACTGGCCTGAGTTGATCCACGATGAGCAGTACCTGAAGCTGGACATCTATCCTGCTGTGGGTCGAGCCCTGAAGGCCAGGAAGCTGCAGTTCTGGACAAAGACTCTGCCCCAGAAGATCCAGAAGCTAAAGGGGGCTCGGGACAAGCATGAAGAGCTTTAGTGCCAGTTACAGGAAAGGTGTGTGGTGTTGGGGATGGATGAGGTCATCCCGAGGTTACAAAGTCCATTTATTTATTTTTATTCATTCCAAACTCACATAAGCCTTTCTAACCTCAGCATTTCCCTTTCACTGTGTATGACAAACCCTCTGTATGCTACTCCTTATCCTTCTGGACACATTTTATTAGACTCAATAAATGGTCCCACAACCATATGAATGGATCTTCTTTAACACTTCGCTCTTTTAGACTCTCTCCTTCCTCTCATCTTTTCTCCTCATCTTCTCTCTCCTCATCTCCAAGCCTCAGACCCTCTTCAAATGAAGCAGAAACCTCAGGCACTGTTGACTTCAGGAAATCCCTTGTCCCCTCTCAGCTAGTTCATGTTTTCTCATACTTCTAATTTGCCAGTAGCAAATCTTATTTCACAAAATTCATTAACTTCATAAGTGCAGAATGTTGTTCCCCAAAGTTAATAAACTACAAAGTGGGCTCCTAACATCTGTGACCTCAGATGTTTGGAGACTGAGAACGAAGGGTTGCATAAGCCCAGGGCAAGATAACAAGATCCACATCTCAGAAACAAAACAAAATACATAACCTCAGTAACTTACAACCAGTAGCAAATGTACAAGACCCAGAGGGTTACAGTGTAGAATTCTACAAGATTTTCTAAGAAGAATTTATACCAATGCTCTTCAAATTGTTTCATGCAATAGAAACTGACAGAACATTACCAAATTCTTTTTACAAGACTACAATTACCCTGATACCCAAACCACACAAAGACAATACTATGAAAGAGAAATACAGACCAATCTCACTCATTAATATTGATGCAAAAATACTCAGTAAAATACTGGCAAACTGAATCCAAGAACACATCAGAAAAATCATCCACCATGACCAAGTAGGCTTCATCCCAGAGGTGCAGGGATGGTAAAACATACAAAAATTTGTCAGTGTATTCTACCATATAAACAAACTGAAAAAGAAACCACATGATCATCTCATTAGCTGCTGAAAAGTCTTTGACTAAATACAACATCCCTTCATGATAAAAGTCACAGAGAGAGCAGGGATACAAGGAACATGCCTAAACACAATAGAGGTAATATACAGCAAGCCAACATCAACCTAAATGGAGAGAAACACAAAGTGATCCCAATGAAATCAGGAACAAGTCAAGCTTGTCCATTCTCTCCATATCTATTCAATATAGTTTTTGAGGTCCTAGCTAGAGCAATAAGACAACAAAAAGAGATCAATGGATACAAATCAGAAAATAAGAAGTGAAACTCTCTCTATTTGCTGATAATATATAGTTTATATAAGTGACCCCAAAAATTCTGCCAAGGAACTTCTACAACTTATAAACATCTTTCAGTAATGTAGTAGGAAACAAGATCAACTAAAAAACAATTAGTAGCCCTCCTTTATACAGATGATAAGTGGGCTGAAAACAAAATCAGAGAAACATCACCCTTTACAACAGCCACAAATAACATAAGATATCTTTGAGTAGCTCTAGCCAAACAAGTGGAAGACCTACATGACAAAAACTTTAAATCTTTGAATAAAGAAATTGAAGAAGACACCAGAAAATGGTGGGTAGAAATAGCATAGTAAAAATCACAATCTTACCAAAAGTGATTTTCAGATTCAATGCAATTCCCATCAAAATGCCAGTAAAATTCTTCACAGACCTCAAAAGAACAATGCTCAACTTCATATGGAAAAACTAAAAACCCAGGATAGCCAAAACAATCCTATACAATAAAGAAACTTCTGGAGACATTATAATCCCTGACTTCTAACTCTACTACAGAGATACAGTACTGAAAAAAGCCTGTTATTGGAATAAAAACAGACAGGACGACAAATAGATCTGAATCAAAGACCCAGATATCAGTCCACACACCTAAGTACACCTGATTTTTGACAAAGAAGCAAAAAATATAAAATGGAAAAAAGAAAGCATATTCAAGAAATGGTGCTGACATAAATGGATATCAACATGTAGAAGAATGAAAATAGATCCATATGTATTGCCATTTACAAAACTCAAGTCCAAATGGATCAAAGACCTCAACATAAAATTAACCACACAAACCCTCATAGAAGAGAAAGTGGGAAGTATACTTGAATGCATTGGTACAGGAGATCATTTCCTAAATATAACCCCAGTAGCAGAGATACTGATAGAAACAACTAATAAATGGGACCTCCTGAAATGGAGAAGCTTCTGCAAAGCAAAGGACATGGTCATCAAGACAAAATAGCAGCCTACAGAATGGGAAAACATCTTCAACAACTCCATGTTGGACAGAAGGCTGACCTCCAAAATGTACAAAGAAATCAGGAAACTGGTTATCAATAGGACAAATAATCCAATAAAAATGGCATACAGTCTTAAACAGAGAACTCTCAACACGTGAATCTAAAATGGCTGAAAGACACTTAAGGAAATGCTCAACATACTAGGCCAAAAGAGAAATGCAAATCAAAACATCTCTGAGATTTCATCTTACACCTGTCAGAATTTCCAGGATTAAAAACACTGATGACAGCTTATGCTGGAGAGGACATGGGATAAAGAGAACACTCTTCCATTGCTGGTGGGAGTGCAAACTGGTACAGCCACTTTCGAAATCAATATGGCAATTTCTCAGAAAATTGGGAAACAACCTACCCCAAGACCCAGTTGTTGTAGGAATTCCTTTATCTAGTAGCCTTTAAGATGCCAGACCACTTGGGCATGGCCTCTTATACTATAAATGATGATGTAATGAGCATGCTTGCTCTCTCTTCCAGTTGCTGGATTTGGTTCCTGTACTGTGATCATACAAAGGACTGTGATCTGTTAGTCTACCCCTAATAAGTAACACTATTAGGGGCTAGTGCGGGATTTCTTTTTAGAGTCTATCTTCATCTGGTTCCCCCATGGATTCCCAACTCCTACAGGGTAGACTGACCTAAAATGTCCATGACACAGAAGGTCTTCCACCTCTCTCCTTCTGGCTTAATTTCACCATACTAAGCATTTTTTTTTTTGCAAAAACCCTGCCACAGTGGAGCTAAGTGCATGGTGACTTTGAAATTTCCCAAGCTCATGCACACCCCCCCCCACATTGCTTTCTCTGCCACATGGTGACTAGTGAGGTGATGGTGCAGCTTCTGGTTTATGTTCCCTGCTCACGAGTTCTGGGCTCCGTGATCTAATTGATTTAATTGCTATTAAGCAAAGCATATTTTTCAGCATTTTACCAGGCACCAATGTTCAGAACCAAAGCAACATGGGACTGATTGTGCCACCACCAATCAAGTCTTGTTGCTACAGTTGATGACCAATAAAAATTATTACATCTTCAATAATTTACCAAAATCTCATGACAAAGGTAACCATTTGATTAATAAATAAAACAATAAACTTGAAAGTTATATAATGCAGACTATATTACCATCCAGCAATCTAATAACCTTTTTGTTTATTCTATGGATAGTATTCTTCAAGGCTTGTATGGTTTTTCTGATGCACCCTTTTATTGGATATTGGGACTTAGTTTTCTTTTTCATATTATACCTTTAAAAAATGATTTGATAACAGAGTAAAGAATCAGGCACTTTTAGAAATGATAGTCTTTACAGACTGATAATGAACAGCTAGCCAACAGAATTAATACCATGGAAAATGAAAAGTTAGCTGAAAAATTAATACTATTGGAAAGGATAACATTAATTTGACAGACAAAATTCAATCCATGTGAAAGGGTACTAAGAAATTATCTGAAAGAATTAATACTATTGAATTTGACAATCAAAATCTGCTAAAAATTTATGATAGGTTAGCAGTTAGAGTATCTCTCCAGGAAGGCAATCTACATGCTTTCCAATGATGAGGATGAGATGTTTTCTTTAAAGAAAAACTTTGTACCTTGGAATAGCATGTGAAGAATGAGGACCAGAGGCTGGGTACATCAATGAAATCACTAGGAATATACAGGGTAAGAGATTCAGGCATTACAAAAGACAGTAGTAAAAAGATTTGAAATGATTGAAGAAATTATCAGAGCTGAGGATCAGGGCAAGAAGATACAAGGACAGGATTTAACATCGCCAGTACCTGTCAGAGTCAGAGATGACTTACCCAGGGTTTTAGCTTCCTAGCCTGTACAACTCTGAAAAAGTATCAAGTTCTAAATGCCCAAAAGGATCCAAAGATTATAGATGGATACCTATAGGTATGAGTGATCTAACAGAAAGTAAGCAAGCAGTAGTATCTTATGGCTTGCATTCATCATTTGTTAGACAAGGGCTTCTAGCAATACGACTACCCCACATGATAAGCTTCAGTTAGTTTCAAAAGTACTGGAAGATAGGCCACAACTACTGTGGAAATGCTATTGGTGGGAAAAAGTAAAAAGTTTATAACAGAGAAATGCAACAGGACTTGAGGCTACCCAAATTCATGGCAAGGGCACTTATGCTGACCCATAGGATCAGGTCTTTATAATGAACAAATCTTGCTCATATGGCACAAAGAAGCCTTAAATGCTTGGGGCAGGATTCAAGAATTAGGAAAATAAATTGAATCATATACCAGGGTTAAACAGAGCAAGAGAGAATCCTTTAGTTACTTTTAACAAAGATTAACTAAGGCTATACAAATAGGAGTAACAGACCCAGAAGCTAGATGAGTACTTATTGAATCTCTGGCTTTTGAAAATGCCAACTTAGAATGCAAAAAGATACTTGGGCCTTTAAAGTTTAGATCAGCACCAATGGATAAATAGATCCTGCATAATTTTACATTGAGAAATTTGACTATAATACTGAGGCTTGGGTAGGAAAAGCAATTTCCAAAGGTATAAGGAGATGTCAAAATGCCAAATGTTTTAATTGTGGTAGAATAAGACATCTGAGAAGGAATTGTAGATAAGGAATTAATAGAAATAATATCCCCCTGGAAATGGCAAAAATAAAAGTTATCAGTATTCTGGATTATGTAGGAGGTGTTATAAAGGCTGACATTGGACCAATAAATACAGATCAACAAAAGACAGGAAAGGCAACCCAGTAACATCAGGAATCTCCTTGGGGGGCCTCTCATAAGCCTCCAAGTCAAAAGTGGTCTAGTCATTCCCAGTCATTGTGGAGGACAAGTCTCACCAGGAAAATTAAAAAAAAAATTCATTGCCTGCTGTAAAAAACCATA